TCATCATTTTAATTGTTATTTAATGTGTAACTCAGTAACTCAAAATAATTTATGAGGAAGGGATAGAGGCATAGATCTCATGTGGTTCGGCTCTTGTTTTTCATGTTATGTCTAGGTAGTTTAGCTCAAAGTAGTATTCCGACATCGTCTACTAAGCATGATTTAAAACTAAGAATAACTGAAACCCAAAAAAATAATTAATGTCATTGGTTTGGTACAAATATATTCATTAATAAAATAATTTGTTAATAATGATGTTAATTCTTACGCACTAACAATATTCTGACAATTGTTTTACCGATGAGTTAAATAAGGAGAAGGGAAAGGGGTTGACCGAACCCTAATTAGTTTTTTTCTTCTTTTCAAATGTTCTTTTAATAGAAAAAATATATGAGAAAATCCCCGTCATTGCCCTTTCCACTAAAACAATTCTGCTTCTTTTGAATTGGCTCAAGCTCCCTATTTTGTTCACATAGGATCAAAATCCCGATTTTGGTTCGATTTTACGATTTAACGATTTTAATCCCGATTTTGAACGATTTTAAGGTCCATCGATTTTATAGTAAAATCAGGATCGGAATCCCTAAGTAAAATCCTAAAATCCTACGATTTTACGATCAAAATCCCGATTTTGACTGCATTGATTTGAAGACGACACCTAGTCAAGGTTTGTTTTTTCCTTCCTCCGGTGATTTGCAGCTTACTGCTTATTGTGATTCTGATTGGGCAGGTTGTCGATCCACCCGACGTTCTACTACCGGCTACTACATTTTGTTGGGTTCTGCCTCTGTTTCTTGGCGTACGAAGAAACAACGTGTGGTTGCTTGTTCTTTTGCTGAAGCTGAGTATCTTGTCATGGCCAGCACTGTCAGTGAAGTTGTCTGGTTGCGTTTTCTGTTGAATGAGTTGGGGCCCCCTCAGTTGTCAGCTACTCCTCTATATTGTGATAACCAAGTTGCTCTACATATCGCGGCGAATCAAGTCTTCCATGAACGCACTAAACACGTGGAGATGGATTGTTATTTTGTCTGCGAACGGGTTATCACAGGCGAGGTTGCTCTTTGTAAGATCGCTTCCACTTCTCAGCTCGCCGACATCCTCACTAAGGCATTGGGCGCGGAGCAGTTCCACTTCCTCTTGTCCAAACCACTTTTGTTGTAGCTTAGTGAAACCCTAATTGACAGCTTTCTCTCCGTGGATTAGTCCTGTTCCATAGAATAGGGATACCAAGTAAATCGTGTGTTCTTCGCTTCCGCGTGTTACTTATTTTCATGATCCAATAAGCAAATGCAAATATCACCTGGATTTGCCAAACAACTACGAATCTCCTTTGATCCGCCAGACAAACCCATATCTCAATTCCCGAGGTTACGAAGAAGGATCCATCAAGCTGACATTCATTGCCCCGAATCGAAGCCAAACCAAGCTTTGATATCACATATTGAAATAAGAATTGTTCCATTAATATGATATTGTCCCTTTTGAGTCACATCCGAAAATATTTACTTTTAGCCTTCTTCAAGAAAAGTTTCATAACAGTAGAGTTTGATGAACACTCTTATACAACGATTTTTTCTCTGTACTATAACAATATATTGAAGGTTGTTTACATATACATGAACCGATAAAAATGTGTGCATATATACTATGCATCCCTCATCATAAGTTTTCTTTTAATTTTGAATTTTTATTTTGATGAATAACATTAGTCTGCGAAGACGATAGAACATAAAACTACAACAAATCCAAAGCCCTCAACCTTAACCGTACAACTTAAAAATACAAGTAGTTTCTAAATTATTTCGAGCAAATTCATATACTTTTTTGTTCACTATATTGCGATTAAAGATTAAGATCATTCTTTTACACGAATTGTCTATTCAGAATTATGATTATGAGGTGGGTGAATAAGAGAATGTAGTGAGGTAAAAATTATATATATGTATGGTATATCCCTAATGATCTGGTCGTAGGATCTACTTTGATGTACTCTAGTAGATCATTTCGAGTATGTCCAGTCACTTTTTTAGTGCATGATATGCATTGATCTTGAACTTGGAAATTTCAGGTTCGAAATTTCCAGGTTCCAATTCAAAGTAGCACCTAATAATAAAAACAAATCTATAATATCCTTATAAAAAAACTTATACATATGCATTCACCTCATAATCATCCATCTGAGTAGGCAATTCATGTCAAAATAATGTCAATTATCATTATCATCCAAAAAAATCCCCTCTTTCTTAATTTTTATTTTTTATGTGAGATATTTTTTATTAGTAATAAAAAATAAAATAATAAAAAATATAGACAAAATCCCAACCAAGAAGAACGAATGCTCTTTCGACTAAAAAAAAGACTGAATGCTCTGGCCAGTAAGTTACTTGAATCGTCTCCAATAGATTTGCATTTTCTGAACTAACTTATAACCCGGCTCGTTGGTCGGAATGTTCATATTTGATTATTTATATTTGATGTTACGTTTAATTCTATCAATCTATTTGATTTTATTGACAATCCTTCGATTGAAATGATACCTAATGAAAGAATATATAGGTTGAACATCCAAAGAAATATCACAATCATTTAAGAATGTGATATATATAAAAATGTATCATTGATAGGGGTGTGTAACACCGAACGAAACTCATGAGAACCGTGGTCCATTTGTGAAATACAAGGGATCAGGCCGTTAGTGCATTCGGTCCATTTGGTTAGGTCCGGTCCAAATATCAGTTTAGACCATTATTTCTTTAGTATTTATAAAATTCAAGGGGACCAAGGACCGGACTGCATTATACTCGGCCGATCCAAACTTCAGTTTGGTTCAGTACGGACCGGACCAATGCACACCCCTAATCATTGATCCCAATTTCATAGAATAATTAAGCCCCCGTTAAAATGTATTGATTAGTTGATTGTCAAGAAAGATAGAGTATAAAAGTTCACTAGAATTACACACGATCCACAGATAGTTTGAAACTAAATCTTACAAATCTCACAATCGTACATAAAGGGTTCAATGCTCTCCTTTTAGGAAAATATGCCACTAATAAAAAAATGGAGAGTTGTTTATTAAAGTCAACTATATACTAACAACTCAGCTAAGAGGGGACCATCAAAACTTAAGAGCAAACGACAAGGTTAGGGTTACCTCCAATATACTAATATACTCGACCAAAGTAATTAGGCACCAAATTAGACACTTCTTATTTATCAGTTCCAGTAAGTTGGATAAAAAATCGAGCTACTTTAGTAAATCAATCAGCGATTCGTCATTTTAAGATAGAAATAGGTTGTGATAGCTGCAAAAACCTTAAACCTTAAGATCCAATAGCCACCACCCTCTGTTGTACAACCAAATTTTTATCCACTCTATATTCAATCTCAAGAGGAATATTTTTCAACCAAATATTCAATTTCTAATCCTCCTTTTGCACCTCCATTTATTGAACTTCATTCTATTGGTCATGGATTGATACCGGAGTTGAAATCTTCTGCTTTCCCAGCTTAAATCCCCAACAATAAAACCGTAGTGCCAAGAGACACCGAAAGATTGATTTTCAAAGGCGGATTGTACTGGGAAGTGAAATGGCGCAAACTATTGCACGATGTAGGGAATTTCAGAGAGATAAGAACAAAGCTAAAAAAGCACATAATTTATATTTAAATTGAAACACTTAGTGGGTTTGCTAATCATTGTGGAAAAGTCCTCACATTTTCAGAGTTTAACTTCGTGTATGTTTTGTATTCAAAAAGATACAACAAATTTATTTGGTGTAGTTGGTTATAATTGTTGTCTTTGTTTGAAGAGACCTGCATTCAAATCCTGATATTGATATTTTTTATATGAAATAGATAATTAATTGTAAAGATAAAAATTTTCTTCTTATTTTTACTCTCGTTGCGGAAAATTTGAAATGGAGAAAAGTACACAAAACTCTACCATATATTATTGGAGGATGTATACATACTCATCTTCATTTTTAAATCATAAAATATTGTAAATGGTTCCAATTAATTGGACTTCTAAAATTCATTTTATGGTTAACTGGAGTTGTAAATTGACCACTAATGGACATATATAAATTTCAAAGTTACATTTATGTATTAATTGTTTTAATTATTTACAAAAGGACATAGAATACTATGGCATGCACCCGAATATCATGGCTGTACCAATAAACAAACCTCGCATATTATTGCATATATATAATCCTCAGTCATTGGAAACGGAATTAAATATAATCCTCACTCATTGGAAATACAACTTGTTATATGTGTACTTGTGCAATACAATTTTGAGACTTAATTAAAGAATTTATACCTGTCAATCCAACTATCTTTCTGAGTATAAAGAATCAACAAGTTGATATAGCCTTTACATTAAAATTTTGTAAACTATACATGTCACATCCTTTCCGCTGAAATTATATAATATGTATTCTCTAAAAAAAATATAGACAAATCGTCCTATACTTTCTCATATTCGGTTTTCAATGGTTTTATCATAGTCAATTATTCTTTTTAGGCAAAATACATTTCCATAGTCATAACTATTCGCATTATGAAAATAATAACCTATTTTTTAAAAATACACTAAAATAGTCATTACGTTCATAACTTTAACGGAAATATCCAAGTTGCTGACTAGACTAACTTTTATGTGACGTGACATTTTTTGGTAAAAAAACAATACAAGTGGAAATTACTATTTTCTTATATTGTAATTAAATGATAAAACAGCAGAAACAGAAGGAGAGGAGATGGAAGCAACTAGCTGCCTCCTCTCACCGCCTTCACCAAGCTTCTTCCGGTGACTACATGCAGAAAGAAGAAGAACCAACAAAATCGACGAATCATCTCCTCCTCCCACCGTCGTCACCAAGCTTCCTCTGAGAAGCATTTCCCCTTTGGAATCTGACTGCTGCTTAGCAATTTCTAACTCTTATATATAAAAAACCCCTTAATTTCTCAAATAAATTTTTCTCTTAGAATCAATTGAAACAAAACCCTTAATCGAAAGTTTAGGTGAGAAATATATCGAGGATCGGTCGAAAAGCAATAAAGAGACGAGAGTTTTAACGTGGTATCCCCGAAGTGTTCGGGACTAATCCACGGGAGAGCAGAAACTCTCCGACTACTGTTGGTATTACTTCGTGTATTCAATCGGCTTTAGCCGAGTACAATCTATATATGTACCCTGTCTACTAGCTTCTAGGGTTACATTAACAGTAGGGTTTCCTTCCTGTACATAAGCCATGCACGAGAAGGAGTCTCGTTGTGCAGCGGGCGTCAAACCGGGCTGGACCGCCCTTGACTGTGTGGGCCGATCTGGTTCGGCACTCGTGGGCTGAGATAACCTGCCCAACACTCCCCCGCAAGCTGGAGCGTGAAGGTCACGAACGTGCAGCTTGGAAAGCAAAAAACGAAAATGATCGACACCAAGGCCCTTAGTGAAAACGTCTGCCAACTGCAAATGTGAGCTGACTTTGAGAGGCAAGATATCACCAGACTGAACACGTTCACGCACAAAGTAACAGTCCATTTCCACATGCTTGGTGCGTTCATGGAAAACAGGATTATGTGCAATGTGCAATGCAGCCTGATTGTCACAATAGAGAGGTGTAGCTCGACGTTGTGGAACACCGAGTTCAGCTAACAGCCAACGTAACCAAAGGAGCTCACTGACCGTGCTAGCCATTGCACGATACTCAGCTTCGGCGGAGGAACGAGCCACGACTTTCTGCTTCTTGGTGCGCCAAGAGATGGGAGCATTACCTAAGCAGATAAAATAACCCGTCGTGGAATGACGAGTGCTCTCGCATCCACCCCAATCTGCATCACAGTAAGCCGTGAGGGTCAAGTCATTAGAAGAAGGAAAGAACACACCTTGTCCAGGAGAGGTCTTGATGTAGCGAAGGACGCGGATGGCCGCATCCATATGGAGCTGACTGGGAGCATTGACGAACTGACTAAGGATGGTAACGGCATAAGTGATGTCAGGCCGCGTAACAGTGAGGTACAGCAGGCGCCCGACCAATCGGCGATACGATGAAGGGTCGGCAAGGATCTCATCTCCCGAACCCATGCGTGTCAAGTGATGATTCTGTTCCACAGGGAAAGCGCTAGGTCGAGCACCCTCAACACCCGCATCCTCTAGAATATCCAGGGTGTATTTTCGTTGGCAAAGAACGACACCATCACGTGTGCGAGCAAACTCCATTCCGAGAAAATAACGGAGATCTCCCAAGTCCTTGATGCTGAATTTATCATCCAAGAACCGCTTGACCTGAGAAATGAAGTCTAAATCATTTCCCGTGAGAATAACGTCGTCGACGTATATGAGGGCAGCCACGAAAATACTCCCCCGCCGGAAAATAAACAGTGAGTGGTCGGCCGGGGAAGATTGAAAACCGAGGGAGCACAGTGCAGTGGTGAACTTGTGATACCAGTTCCGCGAAGTCTGTCGAAGCCCGTAAATGGACTTGTGAACGCGACAAACTCGAGTATCTCCGGGTGCAGCAAAACCGGGAGGAATCTTCATGTGTACTTCTTCCTCGAGGTCTCCATGAAGGAAGGCGTTATTAACGTCAAGCTGATGTAAATGCCACCCACGACTGACAGCCACAGCCAAAAGACAGCGTACAGTAACCAATTTCGCCACCGGAGCGAAAGTATCGTGGAAATGGATCCCTTCGATCTGAGTGAAGCCCTTGGCTACAAGACGAGCCTTATACCGTTCTATGGTGCCATCGGGACGGTATTTAATCTTGAAAACCCACTTCGCTTCAATGGTACGTTTCCCAGGCGGAAGATGGACGAGGCTCCATGTTCCATTTTGATAAAGAGCTTGAATTTCCCGTTCCATGGCAGCTCGCCATTCCGGGTGTGCAAGCGCTTCACGATAATGCCTTGGCTCATCCTGACAAGTAACAGAGGCAAGGAATGACTTGTAAGCAGGACTAAAATGATCATACGAAACATAAGCTGAGAGAGGATAGTAAACAGCAGAGGAGGAACTTCCCTGAGCCGCGTCGGGAGGGCTGCCGAGAGAGGTGTATTCCGTCTCATAAATGCCCAAGTGCTTGGGGCGAACTCGTGCTCTGTCACTTCGACGAGGAGGAGGAGGTTGAGGCCCTGCCAAAACCTCATTATCCCCAGGAGACGAGGCAGCAGGTGGATCAACGAGAGGGGGCGAGTTACCCAAATCGGTCGCTGCCGAGTGGTCAACCGACGCTGGTGAATGAGCATGTAACGTGGGTGAATGCTCATGTTGGTCATGCAACATGGGGGTGCTTGCAGCATCACTAGGCGAGCTAGCACCTAGGTCCAAGAAAAGTTCCTCATCATCGGAATCTGGAGTTGGCGAAGGAAAAAGAGGCCGAGGTACCCAATGTAGCCGATCAGCAGTGTGTGACTGGAAGGGAAATTGGTCCTCGTGAAACTGCACATCTCGTGACGTCAAGACTTGCTTCGTGGATAGATCATAGAATCGATACCCCTTTTGACTCGAAGCATAGCCGATAAAAACACAAGCCCGACCACGCTCAGCGAACTTATCGAGAGCTTTGTGAGTGTTCTTTGTGTACGCCAAACAGCCAAAAATGCGAAGATGAGTGTAAGGGGCCGGTTTCCCAAACAAAACCTCAAAAGGAGTGCGGTGAGTCGCCACAGTAGGTAACCTGTTTATCAAATAAGCTGCTGTGAGTATACACTCACCCCAGAAATGCAAAGGAAGAGATGCCTGAAATCGCAATGCTCTCGCCGTGTCGAGAAGATGGCGATGTTTGCCTTCCACCACCCCGTTTTGTTGCGGTGTATCCGTGCAGGAAGTCTGTAAAAGAATTCCTTCGCGCTCATAAAAGCCCTGTAGAACAATGGTATTAAATTCGTGACCATTGTCTGCCTGTATTCTCTTGATCCTTTTACCAAACTGTCTGCGTACAAGTTGAGCAAACATCATTAGGTACCTGCCAACCTCGGACTTAAACCGAAGTAAGTAAACCCACACACCCCTGCTGTAATCGTCAACGATGGTGAGAAAGTAGTGAGCACCACTAAGTGATGCCGTATGATAACCACCCCAAATGTCAATATGAACTAATTCAAAACAATCCTTGGTCCGAATTGTACTTAAAGGAAACGGCTCTCTAGTCTGTTTTGCTCGAGAACAAGAATCACAATGCTTGTTTGAAAAAGAAGTAATGGCAAGTACATCTTGTAGCTGCTTCAACTTCGGCATTGATGGGTGTCCCAACCTGGCGTGCCACATGTCATCTGGAATCTTAGCTCTTTGTGTCACCGCACAAGTCCGTACGCTGCCCACACCGAATAGCCGCAGGTAGTACAGGCCATCACGCATCTCACCTTTCCCAATCAATTTCTTGGAGCGTAAGTCCTGGATTACGCAAAAATTATCGAGAAAGATTAGTGTGACACTGTTCTCTCTAGTAAATCGACTTACTGAGATCAAGTTGCAACGGAACTCAGGCACATGTAAAACTCTGCGTAATTCCAAACCAGGCTGCAAGGCAACACTTCCAATATGTGCAACTGGAATACTCGCACCATTGGGGATCCTAACAGGCTGCCCGTTCTCATGAAGAGATTTATTAAACATCAAAGAATCATCCATAACGATATGTTCATTGCATCCCGAGTCAAGTAACCATTCTGTACTCATGGTGAACATACCTGCGTGATGCGCCGAGGGATCTTCTGCCCCTTTCGATGTACCGAAAAACTCCTTAAGCTGCTCGAGCTGTTCCCAGGTAAAACCAGAAACCGGACTCTTCTCTTCCTTTCCTTGATCGACTTGTGCAGCTCTTGGTTCTCGGTCACGCTCGCGAGTAGAACCATCCACCGAGGCAGGACGACGCGGTCGCTGCGGCCTCTCTTGGTGGATAACCATTCAGCTGGTAGCAAACCTCTCGAGTGTGGCCGAGCTTCTGGCAGTAGCTGCAACGGGGTTTGTCTTTCCCGCCGCGTTGTCCACCGCGCTCGCCATCGTTTCTCGCCGCAAAAGCAGCAGCCTCCGACGATGGTTTACGGTTTTGAGATATCATCCTCTGTTGCTCTTCATTAAGGGTGATATTAAACGCTTCGGCCAGGGTCGGAGTAGGTTTCATGGCCAAAACTTGCGTCCGAACCGGAGAAAACACATCGTCAAGACCCATCAAGAAATCGAACAGTCGATTGCTCTCTTGTTGCTCGCGAACTCTCCTGGAAACATCACAAGTGCAATGGCCACAGATACAGCTGGGTGTTGGTGAAATCACTGTAGATTCCTCCCATAGTGATCTCAGCTTAGTGTAGAAGGCTGAGACGGAATTCTTTTCTTGCTGAAGAAAGCTGATCATACGACGAAGCTCGTATGATCGAGAAGCATTCCCATGCTCAAAACGTGCTCGGAGATCGTCCCAAATTCCTTTGGAAGTTTCAGCAAACCGAATACTGCTCCTGATCTCCTTATTCATGGTTGTTTTCAGCCATCCCTTGATCATGGCATCACATCGAATCCAAGCACTCCGTTGTTCTCCAGTCACTGGCTTCGGTAGAGTGCCATCTACAAAGGCAAATTTGTTCTTCGCTATCAGGGCGTCCTTCATGTCAAGGACCCATTCCCCGTAATTGGAAGCTGTTAAGACATCGCCTACTAGCATCTGACCAGGCGAATCCGAGTTGGGGAGCCGATATACTGGCGGCAGACCGTCATCATCAAGGTCCGACTTCATGGCCTTGGACTTTTGATCTTTGCCGCTTGTCTCCTCGTCACTCATATTTCTATTGATTCAGCACCGGTGCTCTGATACCATGAGAAATATATCGAGGATCGGTCGAAAAGCAATAAAGAGACGAGAGTTTTAACGTGGTATCCCCGAAGTGTTCGGGACTAATCCACGGGAGAGCAGAAACTCTCCGGCTACTGTTGGTATTACTTCGTGTATTCAATCGGCTTTAGCCGAGTACAATCTATATATGTACCCTGTCTACTAGCTTCTAGGGTTACATTAACAGTAGGGTTTCCTTCCTGTACATAAGCCATGCACGAGAAGGAGTCTCGTTGTGCAGCGGGCGTCAAACCGGGCAGGACCGCCCTTGACTGTGTAGGCCGATCTGGTTCGGCACTCGTGGGCTGAGATAACCTGCCCAACATTAGGGAACCAGAGAAAGAAAAAGGGAAGGCTTTTTGTGAATGGAGATGAGTTTATTGCCCATAAGAGATCACAAAGGTCATGCGGCCATATTCTCCCTTCCTTTCCTCTCTCTCTCAGCAGTCATCGCTCCAAATCGATCCATCGATGCCTTCTAGCTCCAAATCGATCCCCGCATCCCATCTCCCACAACACAAACCGAGAAAAAAGAAGGTGAAACCGAGAAACTCATCACCCATGGTCACTGCTGCTCTCTTCTTCCTGGTCCCGACTTGTTGGCCTAAGTGTGGCTATTTTTATTGTATTTTTGTGCACTCGTCATTTTTTCCGCTATAAAATTATTTTTGCAACGGTTCTTGCATATTTTTTTCTAATTGCTTTTCAATTAGAAGATGTAGATTACTCCAACTATATAGTCATCTTTCTTTGTACATGTTTCGATCTTTATTGCATATGTTTTTGTGCTGAATTTTCTAATTTGAGAATGATGATTGAACAATACCATTATCTTCGTGGTGACATTATCTTCCATATTTAAAAGTAGTATTATCTAGAAAACATTGTTTGCTTGTCAAAAAGTCTCATTGTACGTCCCGGCCTTCTATTGCATATATTTTCTTTCATTGTTCCTCAATTGTAAATAGCGATGATCTTGACATATTTTTGGGATTTCTTAACATTGTTCTATTTAATAATCTTAGTGCATCCTGAACTTAAACTATTTATCTTCACAATAGTCAAAATTAGTCTTTTACTTCCTACTCTTCCTTGAAAAACCATGCCTAGGTTGTTTACATGCTTCCCGAATTGAAAACGACAATAGATCTCAACTAAAAAAAATGGTTTATGTGTACTCGCATTGCTCGCTCATCTAAGGGTTTTCTTTAGCAAAAAAATGTTTTCAACGCGCTTCATCTACTTTTTCAAAAGAACTTCTCTACTTAAGAACGATGATGGATCTCGACAGAAGAATGTTTATTTTTGTAGTGTCGTTGCATAGTCTTCATCATTGGGATACCATCCTCCTTTCGAAGAAAATGTCTATTTATATGTATTTGCTAACATGCTACTCAATCCGTGAACAACTATGAATCCTATATAAATGCTAGATGCGCCATTTTCCCTATTTTATGTGGTTTGCCCTATTATGCATTTTTCAACCGGTAAATTCATCAATAACATATAATCTAAAACTTTGACACAACAAATTAACAAACGGGCCTTTAATCATTGATATAAAACTCCTTCACTGTGATCGCGGCTTGACTCGATATTCACTTTCTAGTACTCTATAATTAAAAATATATGTAAAATTGAAACGAAAATTTAGTACATGAGGAAATTGGCAAAAGTTCAATATTATCATATTTCAATTCTCTTAAACTTTATGTATAGCTTCGCTCGAAATTTCTACCTAGAGCACAAAGGGAACAAAGAATGCAATATCTAAACAATGAGAAAGTTGAAAACTTTTCAGTTTCTCCCAAAATGCAATGGGCCATGGAGGCAAGGCAAATAGAATATAGGGACAACGAGCACATAACCTTGGATGGCTATAAGCTAAGCTAAGCCACCTCTCTTCCCCCATTCTCTTCCTTTTCCTTTTTCTCCTTTCAACCTTTTGGGGCTTTCATCTCTTCAAATAGTTCCATCACCCCATGATAGGTTGCCCTTAACCGTATCACACAAACCATCAAAACTAAAAATTGCATCTCATCTAAGAATCTCTCTTGACCTCCACTAGCCTGTTCCCTTACACATGCTTCTGTCCTCTTTCAAATCAAACAAACAAATATATGTGTACAGTGTAACTAAACCCTGTTGTACCATGTTTCACCATTTAAAAAATAGACAAGGCGACATAAGATCAAATAATGATTCTGCTTAAAAAAAATTTCATTGGCCACCCAATAGGAAGGTGAGTTCGGGTAAGGCAAAATCAAAACCCGAAGACCAAAACACACTATATGGAATATGAAGAGTTGATATGCCTTCAGATTTTTAGCTAAACCCGAAACCGAAACCAACAATAAAACTCAAAAATTGAAAACTCGAACCGAAACCGAAAACTCAATACTACATCTTACCGATTTGGGTTCGGTTAAAACCGAAAAAACCGAACCCAAATTGACACCCCTATCCAATAGTACTATAAATACCACATGACTAATTGAGGAGAAGGGTCATGAGAGGCCTATTTGAGTGATAGAAAGAGAGACATAGATTCCTTCATCAGTTCTTCTTTTGTACCTTGGCACCTTTCATAGTATGGCGATCAACAGAGAAATAGCAGTTTGTCTCCTTCTAATCTTCCTTGTTATGTCACGTAACCATACATTTATGTGTGTGGAAGGCAGGCATTTGAGGCGGCCGGGGAGTAGCCACCACAAACACCCAACGTCGGTAAAGAGTGGCGCCGCCGGGAAGCAATATTATCCTTCTACCAACGTGGCGTCCAAACTAAATGGAGGGAAGGTGGCGGCCGCCGGCGGCAGCGTGGAGAGGAAGATGAATTACAATGTGGATGATTTCCGACCAACCATGCGAGGCCATAGCCCGGGGGTTGGCCACTCCATCAACAATTAAGAGATGGTTGCCAAGCAAAAAAAAAGCCCACATTTCTATTGTTCTTTGTTTCTTTTTCTCTCCATTGTTTTCTAGCTTTTTGCAAGTGGGGATGGCGGTGGGGAACAGCAGGAGATGTAGTGTACATAAGAGGAGCTTGTTAACTAATATGTTGAAACTCGACCTAAATACACTTGTTCTTTTAATATATGATGATAATGATTACGTGTATTAACAAAGGAGTGGATAGTCGAAGTATGAGCTGTGTTCACCCTCTAGATTGGGAAGTAAACCGAAAATAAGTATATCACTATGTTATGGGTGGAAATAGATTAGCTTTTGCTATAATATTGAAGCCCCAACCCATTCATGTTGACCTAGAGTTGTCGAGGAATACGACCCTCGCAGTCGTCACTATGTATGCTACTTCGTCAAAATTTAGAGTGTACTATTCTAGAGTGGAGTAGTTAGTATTGTCGACGAATCGCGAATTGTAAATTGTAAAATTTGATGCCGATCGTATTAGAACCTCTAGGGTCCACAAATCTAAACAACTATCGAACTACTACTCATATGGACAGAAAATATCACAAACATCGACATCTTCTGGAATTTGTAGTCGTCTAAATAAATTGGTTGTTAATTAAGGGATACTCTAGACCGTTGTTGTCTTTCTTGGACTTTGTGGGTGATTTTTGAGTAACTCCTCCATAAAAAAAAAAAACAATTAGAGCTAGCTCGAGGAGTTTATTTATAGGCTTAAATGATTTTCTTGGGGAGAAAGTCTCTTTTGTGAATCTTTCCTCAATATCCTTTACTTGGAGCCAAAGAGAAGATTATCTTATTGTTGAACGTGAAATTCTAACTTTTCCCGATTTTGACCATATGAACCGCTAAAATGGGCCTAGGTCACCCATTAGTACCGTCAAATTCTTCTAGGATAGTTTGGAGAATATGAGTTTAAATCTATAGATCGTCAACAATCTAAAGATTATAACTCTTTGGATTGTTGAAAATAGATTTCAAAATATTTATTATTTGGTAATTGTGATTGTTAACATTCAATGAAAATAAAAAAAAATTAATTTATATTAAATAACATGTTTATCCTTAATAAATAAAATAGAGTGGTTCGAGAAATATTAAAAAATTTGTTGATAAATATATTTAATATGATAAATAAATAAATAAAAGAAAGAAAGAGAAAAAGTCTCAAGAATCAAGATATAGAATCTCTCTGATTATGAGAGATTGGTATCAGTAGATTTTAGAGATTCGAAATCTCTAAAACTTAAATCCACAATACAAAAAGCAACAAAAAACATAACTTTCTACAAAATTTACGAATTCAATGAATCCACGCCCTAAATCCCGTTCTCCAAACGACCCCTAGCTTACTTCAAGTAAGTTTCTGAATTTTGGTTCTGGGCCTTGATGTCCAATGAACATACATGACTAACCTTTGTGATACCTTAGTTGAAAACATCCAAAAACTATCTAAAAAGACATTGAATACGTAAAACATTTAGAAGCTATCAATTGCATGTTTGAGCCCATACGAACCACATCCAAGTAAAATGGCTAAATATGTGTCAAAATAGTGTAAAATTTTCCTTAAATGAGGTATAAAAATATCCTATTTTAGGTGTCACGGTCACCTCACAATTTCCACATGTTTCCTTCTATATATATCATCCACAAATATAACTTAATTAAGACCATGAAGTTAATTAATTCATGCATAACATAAATTTTATGTATAGAGGTGATCGTTTATTGTTCAGAGACTAAATTGCTTATAAAATGAAATTTAGTATAGATGGAGTACATCCAATTGGAACCCATTTCAAATCAGTTGGCAACCTTTCACATGTGATATTATACCTTTGATATACTTTCCCAGAGTGCCTTTATATACTTTTCTAGAGAAAGAGAGATCTCGCTATTCCTTTGGATATCTGCGCCATTAGAAGTCTCTCTTCGTATTATGGGTGGGGATCGAATTCAGATTCCTATATGGCAGAGCTAAAGTGTTTCTTCTTTTATGTTGGACGGAACAAATAAATTGGATGAGTATTAACAATGCTTCTAGTAATGAATACAAAATATAATACATATGTATCCATATATAAAATAAGTATAATATAAGATAGGGTTATGGGTATAATATATCCTTTTACTATACCACTCTGTTAAAATTTTCATTCAAAAGCCGTCAACGATGGTCGAACCGTGGTTCGGACGACCTTATTTCTCTAAGTCTCGTTAAACTGAAATTATTAGTGGTATCGGGCTATACAAAAGAAACAAAAATGTTAAAAAGTAAAATTATTAGGAATATGTTAGACATCTATATGTCGCCAAAACCATAATTCGACCGTGGTTAACGGTTTTTTATGTAAATTTTAACAAAAGGGCATGTTGTAATTGTTTCAAAGTACAGGGACATATTTGATGTAATGTATAGTAGAGGGGCATATTATACATAAATATAACTCTATAAGATATCTATTAAACACTTCACGGATTCAAATTTTATCTTCTCTCAATCTTCCACACTAGCCTTGATTTTCCACGTCACTTTTAATAATTTAGGGCAAATACAATATATTAACCATAACTACCAAGCAGCGGGGAATTATAGCCACAACTATCGAAATACAAATTATTAGTCAATCGTTAAGTTTTCGTTAACACTTCTGTTAGTAATGATGACTAAACTTTTACGATGGTGAGCTGGCTCCCACGTGGCAGTCATCACATCATATTTTTTACGATGCTGACATGCCCTTCTACGTTAAAAATGTGAAAACAGTAACGGGCTGTTAGCCAAATCTTGACCCACAACAATAGTTATGGCTAATAATTTGTATTTCGATAATTGTGGCTATAATTCTCCGCTACTTAATAGTTATGGATAATATATTGTATTTACCCAATAATTTAACTCAACACTGACTAAAAGATGAACGAACAAGTGTTACTATGATTCGAATATACAACCTACAAGGTTTAGATTATTAAGGTGTCTAACCAGTAAGACAAACTCTATTTGATTATATTAATTGCAAAAAAAATCAGATAAACACCACAAATTAGATTAGTTACTATAGCAAAATTGAGGCTACCATATCATCAAACGTGTCTAATATGTTTCTTCTAATTTTTTTAATCTTTTCACTTCATCGGTAAAATCAACAATCACATTTTCGATGAATTTATAGTGGATCTCATGTATAAACATAAATTTTATGATTACAAATAAATTACATCAATTCGAATCATCAACTCATCCAAAATCAATACAATATATCATATAATTTCTTGGATTAGGCTTAAGAATTTCAAATTTTCTCAATTGTTAAGAATCCATGTCAGCCTTGATTTTCCATGTCACTCTTATTATTTTAACTTTTTAAACTCAACACCAATTAAAAATAAATGAACATATATATAAATAAGTGTTACTAGAATTCAAACACACAACCTATAATGCGTATATTTATTATAGTGTAAATTTTCTGACGAGTAAGACAAACTATATATGACGATATTGATTGCAAAACTAATAAGATAAAATTCATTGAGTATATAAATTATTAAGAAGATTGAGATTATCATGTCATTAAACATGTTTGATATGTTCATTCTAAAATTTTTATCCTATCACTTCATCAATAAAATCAGTATTTAATCAAAATCTAGTTGAATTTAGAGTGGATCTTATGATATGAACTTAAGTTTTATGATTACAAATAAATTACATCAATTCAAATTATCAAATAATCTAAAAACATTTTAATTATAATTTTGACTCATTAATAATTAGAAAAATAACTCAGCCAATGGCCGAAAACAAAACTAGTATATAATAAACATTGGTTATGTGTTTGATATTTTGAATTGACTTTGTAGCAATATATATTTGTATATATTTTCCAACTATGAAACTCTAACCAGGTATTTGAAATAACTTTGACGTCTATAATATATTCATAATACAATCTAGTCTCTGCACGGTAAAAACTTTTTTTTTTTTTGTTTCGATGTATTTATTTGTAAACTAATTTTCTTGCTATTGAATGTCACTTCAACTAATGTAAAGAACACTTTTCTGCAATGATTTACAACAACACCATCCAAATTTGAACAAGATACCAAATAATGAATGATTATTTTGTCACATTTACGTCCACCAAAATTTGGACTATGAACATATATAATTTAAAAATTTTCTGAAAAATGAGAATACATAAGTCCATATATAACATTAATAGCACATTTCATTATTACTAAATTTTGATAAAGTGAACCCATATTAAACGAAATTCTAGCTATGTTGCTGATTGTAACCCGTTCTAAACTATATGTGGCTACACCCCTTAATTACATATCATTTTGAACCCTTGTTTTCATGCATGCATCTCATATGTGTATTTCATTTCTCTAACGTATATGAAGAATATTGAAAAATTAAACAACTAAACTTTACATCTGAGATCGTTAGTGCCAAGTATTCCGGGGTAGAAAAAGACTGGCTAGCTAGCTAGGTTGGCTTTGTTCCTTTATCATGAAAAGATGTTCGATACAGAAAAGGTGAGGCAGAGCATGAAGAAGAATTAGCACACAATTCTGTGTCAGCCTGTCAGGTTCAAATAGGCCAAGCAGCAGCCGCAAATTTGGCCGGTACACGAACATTTTGAACCGGCCGGCATGTTTATATAACTTATAACCCCACATATGTACTGTTTGTTCGATGCCCTAATACGCCTTTCAACACAATGGTAAAAACAGTCATAGGTCGAGGGAGCAAAATTGGGAAATGTCACGGGACAAAAATAAGTTTTGATGGGAAGGAAAAATATTTTCATATATGTTTATGCCCAAGATCAAATTTCCTACCTTGGTCGATGAAACCGTATCGGATATCGTATCGGAAAAGTCAGTGATATGATATTTTATTTTAAAATTGTGGTTTAACCATAGTTCAACCGTACCATATGACCGTTAAATACCGCCTA